CTGTGAGCCCATTGTGGTGGTACTTACCTATGGTCCTAGCACTCTGAGAGGCTGAGGCTGGAGGATCCCAAGTTTAAGCCCAGGCTTTTGCAAGACTGTCTCAAAATTTTTAAAAATGTAAAAATAATAAATATAAGAAATGAAGGCCAGCCAAATAGCTCAGCACATTAAAGCACCTGCAAGCAGGCTCAGGGGCCGGGGGTTCCATCCCTGGGCCTGCCATGCCAGCCCTGACCCTGGGGCATGCTGAGACGGCAGTTGAGACTGGGCATGGTAGCACACCTGTAATCCCGGCTCTTGGGAGGCTGTAAACAGGCGGATCACTACGAGTCCGATCTATTAGTAGGACCCTGAACACCCTGTACACCCTTCCCTAAAAAAAAAAAAAAAAAAAAAAAAAAAAAAAAAAACTATGAAGCCATGAGAAAACATGAGGCATATTTAAATACATATTATCAAGTGAAAGAAGCTGGTCTAAAAAGGCTACATTTTCTATAATTTCAGCTATATGACATTCTAGAAAAGCCAAAACTATGAGTTCAATGAAAAGACCAGTAATTGCCACAAGCTAACAGGGAGGGAGGGATAGGCAGAACACAGCGAATTTGCAGGGCAGTGATACTATTCTGTATAACACTACAGAGATGGATAATTACAAGTCTATGGGGCTCTACAGAATGTACAACACCGAGAGTAAGGCCTGAGGGTGAGACTCAGCGGCTGGGCCCTTGCCTACCATGTGCAAGGCCTTGGGCTCTGTCTCCAGAACAGCCAGGACAAAGCCAAAAAAAAAAAAAAAAAAAAAAAAAAAAAAAAAAAAAAAAAAAAAAAAAAACCAAGCCAATTTAGTAACCCAAAAGTAAGCTCTGGACTTTGGGTAATGATGCTGGGTCACTGTCACCAATGCAGCTGTGGTGCAGGATGGGGGAGCTGTGTAAGTTGTATGGGGCCAAGGGCCAAATGGGAGCGCTCTGCACTTTCTGTTCAATTTTACCATGAGGCTGAAACTGCTCTAAAAAATAGTCTGTTGTTTGAAAAGAGTTGGGAAAGTAGTGAAAGATGGGGAAGGTGGGGGAGAAAAGTACTGTCCCGTGGCACACACAGCGAGGGAAAGGAGACCCCTTGGGTGGCTTCGTGGAGGTCACAGAGTCTGTCTCCAAGAAGCATCAGAACAGGTATTTGTTCAACCAGCAAAATAACATCACCAGTGTAAAGAGCCAAGAAGCAGATCCCAAGATATATCAGAACAGTGTTTTATGTGATTCTGTTAGTGTATTGTTTTACGATTTAGTATTGTATTGAGAGATGATTTAAAATAACGCTTTAGAAATTCTAAGTGGAAACCATTAAGGTTCTGAAAAATAAAATACAATATGAACAATAAGAAAAATAAATAAATAAGCATCATTCTTTGTCCCCTCTTCCAAGGCCCAGCATACCTTTGCCCTGTGGGGTGTCACATGCTCCTGGGACTCTCCCTTTGCAGCCTGGTAGTGGCCTGCATCTTCCTGCTCCTCTCACAAGGGTCCTCAGTGGACTGCAATCTCTGTGAGGTCAGCTGTCCCTAGGCTCAAGAAAGTCCCTAGTGTGCTGCAGCTGCTCTGAGAGCTGCGACCTGCTGCCCCTCCTCTTCTGGCATGTGTGGGCTGTTTCCAACAGCACTGTTGGCCAGGGCAAAGAACACAGTAGCAAGGGGACCAGGGGTAGAGCCAGAGGTGACAAGGAACCTTCTGTGATCTGTCTCCAGTCTCCTGCCAAGTCTTACAGGAAGCCAATGGGATGAGCAATAAATCCAAATGCACGATGTGAAGTAAAACGCTCACACTTAGACCAAAGTCATCTTACTTTTTTAAAAACTGTGTTTGTCTGGGAAGGTGAAAATTAATGAGTTTTCCCTCACAATGTTGATAGAAAATTCATTCTTCTTGAATAATTCTGGGAGCTGGACTATGACAGCATTTGTCTTTTCTTCAATTAAAATCATGTGGAAACGCAAAACTATCATTTTTCTCTAACAGCCACTTCCCACTTTATAAAAATAGCTTTTCTGTGGAGAAAACATCATGTGAAGTAGAATTGGAGATAAGCTGAAGGCCCAGGCATCTTCCAAAGGGCAGCTGTGCCCAAGGCCTTCAAACTTGGTCCAGCTCCCGCTGATCAGATGAACACTCAGTGACCCTCCAGCTCTCCTCCTCAGGCATTTAGAAATTGTGTAGTCCTTGCGAGTTTGTGCTCACCAGTTTCAGGTGCCCATTCCATTAATGCAGGTTCACATATATAACAGAAATAACCATTCCATTTCTCCATCAGCCTTTTTATGAGCCAGGAGTTCACTCTGGAGCTGAAACATGAGTCAAGGCCAGCCTGGGCTACATAGTGAATTCAAGAACAACCTGAACTACATCTCAAGAGCCTGTCTTAAAAGAGAAAAGAAAAGAGGGAAAAAAGAGCAAAATTAAAGTTAGAAACTCATGGCAGTCCTCCCGCCTCTGCCTCCCAAGTGCTAGGATTACAGGCATGCACCACAAAGATCCATAAAGTTAGAACTCTAGCTGAGCCAACCAAGAAAAGAAAGAGAAGACTCGTATTATAAATGTCAGAAATGAAAGAGGCGATATCATACAGATCCTACATACATAAAAAGTAGAATATGACAAAACTATATGCTCATAAGTTCATGAGCTAAAGGAAAAACTCCACAGGAGACATAATCAAAGCTTATACAAGAAGAAAGAGAAACTAAATAGTACTATATCTACTAACAAAAGTGAATTTATAAGTTTCAAACCTTTTCACAAAGAATAGTCCTAGGAAGCTTTGCTGGAAAATTTTACCAGACATTTAATGAAAAAATATTACTAAGGATTAAAATAACAGAAGCTATGTTGAATGGAAGTCACCATCGAAGCCTGACTTCGGTCTATCCCATCGCAAGCATTACTTAAAGGGACAGTCAGGAGCCCGCCTGCTATGTCTGGCACCAGGGATACAGAAGCCAATAAAATAGCTTCTCACCTCAAGGGGCTCCCAGGCAGCTAACAGCCCAGTAACAGATTTCCCGTGACTTCAAAATGATCATCTAGGGCTGGCCAGATAACTCAGCAGACTAAAGCACCTGCTTCGGCAGAGTGCAGCAGCCGGGGTTCAGTCCCCAGGGTGCCATGCCAGCACCGAGCGCTGAGACTGGGCATGGTGGCACGCGCCTGTAATCCCAGCGCTTGGGAGGCCGAAAAACCGGAGGATCACTATGAGTCCGCTCTACATAGTGAAACCCTGTAGATCCTCTAGACCCTGCCCTAAATACATTTTTTAAAATGACCATCTTACTTAGAGATTGCCATATTGTTTCTCTTTAGGAAGGAAAGCAGCTTTCAAAGACATCATTGCAAAATGTAGTGCCATTAAGAAAGCTATTTTCTCCAGAAGCAAGATCAAGAGAGCCTGTCAGGGCCTGATCTCATCAGGATCAATCTCTTCCCTTATTTTGAGAAACAGCAGAGCTATGAGGAAGGTGTCTAAAATCGTTTATATGGTTCAACATATGCAGATCATTGAATGCAATGTGTCACATAAGCAGATATGGGGACAAGTAACTCCCATGATCATCTCAGAGACCCAAAAAAGCCCTTGACTGAAATCCAACATTCATGCATGGTGAAAACCCTGAGAAAAAGGGGATAGAAGGGCCTTATCTCAATCTGATAAAATCCATTCATGACAAACTTACTACCAGCATATTAAATTGGAAAAGCTCAAAGCTTTTCCTCTAAAATCAGGAATAAGACAAAGATGTCCTCTGTCACCAGCTTGTTTAATACAGTACTGGAAACATCTGCCAGAGCAGCCAGGTGAGAAAGACGCCCCATGGATACCTGAGACCACAGACAGCACCAAACACTCTATAGAGTGTTTCCCCATGTACACTTATTTATGATAAAGTGTAATCATGATCTCGGGGCAGCACTAGTTTAAAATGTATGAATTGGGGCTGGGGAGAGCTCAGTAGAATAAGTGCTTGCCTGGCAAGTGCAAGGGCCTGAGTTCAAACCCCAGTTCTGCCAAAACAAATAAATAAAATGTATGAATTGTGCTGGATGTGTTGGCACGAGGCTGACGCATGAGGACTGCTGTGAATTTGAGGCCAGCCTGGGCTATGTAGTAAGTTCAAAGCCAGTTTGAACTACATAGACCCTATCTCAACCCCCTCTCCCAAAAGTATGAATTTTGTTTGGAATTTTTTCATTAATATTTTCAGACCATAGCTGGCCCTGGGCAACCAAACTGCAGAATGCAGAACCACAGGTAAGAGGGAGACTATTGTGCTCTTGACCGAAAGGAGCAGTCACATTTGTAGCAGTAGATGTGTGATGTTCACAAAATTGTTGGCGGGGCTATTTTAGTTTGCTCCGTAGATTTGAGAGCTTGTATACAACAGAGTACTAGGATTCCGCTATTGAGGAGAGTTGGAACTCTTGGAGAATGCATCTCTTGGAGCCAGCCAACCTGGAGGAGTCTGTCTACACCAGACAAGACTCTTTGTCCCTCTGTGGATGACCTTTACAGTCATCTGACCTAGACATGGACTCTCCTTGAAATCTAGTTATTCCTGATGCACACAGCAATCAACATGCATCAACCTGCTAAGCATTGTTATCTAGGAGAAAAGTTACATTGGTTGTTATTGTTGTGGTTGTGATTTTTGCTATTCTCATTGGACATTTTTATAGAAAGAAAGCACCATATCAACTTTCCATTTGGCAGGCATTAGCTACAGTGAGAGGTGCAAGATTGAGGGACTGAGGTTGTGGGGGTCAGCAGGGGGAGGTCCACTGCAGCTGAGACCTCAATGTGTCCCCAGTCTTCTCCATGTCACCTCAGAGGTCCACTTTCGGTCTTTAGCTCCCCCTCTCCCCTCACCCTGAGAACTGTGAGGCTGCAGAGGGAGGGTGGTATGGGAGCCACTGGGGACAGTGACAGCACATCTTTGTTTGTGCTTACAGGTGAGCCCCGAACCAGCCTCCCAGCTGACGACTGACTGCTGCTTCCGCCAGCCTGTGTCCCTTATCTAGGCCTGTCACTGCGGAACCCCTCAGTAGGTAAGGGGACTGATCTTCCTTTTCAGGCACTGTCCCCTCTGAGAGCAGGCCTCAAGATCTAGCTCTGCAGCCCTCCCCGAGAGGAGATCTCCATCTGGTCCCCTGCCAACTTCCATTGCTGATATAGGGCCTCTGGGACACCTGAGTGTGTAGGAAGGCACAGTGGCATATACTTTCTAGAAGTTGTAGAGGCTCTGTCCCAAGTCAGGTCTGAGCCACCGCACTGAGGATGGAGCCACCTTGCCCTGGCCCCATCCTGATTCCACACTTGCTGAGTTGGAAGCCTCTGTTGCAGCCTCTGGGCCACCTGTCAGTGCACGTGTCTTCTGTGTGCCCTGGAAGGAAGAAATGTTTAACCACACAGCACCAGGGGAGGGCCCTACCTTGTGCCTTTTTCCCTTGTGCCTCATCTTCAAGAAAGCCAGGCAGGGAGTTGGTGTCCACAGGAGCTGGCAGGTGCGCTTAGCTTTGTTGCAGTTCCGCTTCACCCCAAGTTGTTTTCCATCTGTGTATGTATAGCATACACAGGTGTGGACAGAGACATACATGAGGTCACACACAAGTCCAGCATCTGGGTAGGCAGCAGAGGGTGGGGTGTTATTTAAGGGGAGCCTGAAAGGCCATGGGCTACAGTGGGGAAGCGTGGCTGTGAAGCCTCCCCACAAGGTCTGTCTGGAACTCTGCTATAGCCACACCCCCACGTGCATTTCAGAGCCACACTTCGTGTTGCTCTTTACAGTGGCCCATCCTTGATATTCTTTCTTTTATCATTAGGCCTCCTCCAAGCAGTTTTCCATTAGATGAAACTGTGATCCAGGGCTTCTGCTTTTTTGGGGACAGGTAGTATTATGTGTCTTGTCATAGTCACATGGCAGCAGTATGTGAGGCTATGGAGAATTTCCTTCCCTTCTAGAAGAGCCAATCTGGCTTGGACAGAGAAGCGGTAGATGGTGGGATGTAGGTGGGGTAGGCTGGGGTCTGTCCTATTCTTGTACTCCAAAGCTGCACTTCCAACCCTTTGCCTGTGGCTGTTCACAGGGGCTGCAGAATGAAAGAGGGCATGTCCAATAACAGTACCACTAGCATCTCTCAGGCCCGGAAGGCTGTGGAGCAGCTGAAGATGGAGGCCTGCATGGACAGGGTGAAGGTGAGCATGTGCCAACCCTGGCTCTCTTCCAGAAGCAGCAGGGCCAGGTGCAGTCCATCCCATGAGCACCTAGCCACCCTCAGCAGGGAAACACTTACAAATGCCTCATGTTGTGGTTGTGCCAAGGATTAGGAGTGATGCAGAGCAGTGTGTATGGTATCCCGAAGGAGATGCCAAAAAATAGATCCTCTTAGTCTCAGCTTTGTTTAACCACAGTGCCCTGCCAAGAAGCAAGAAGGAGAGTTGAACAATGAAATCACTGGTGCTGTGACTTTAAGGCTAGAAAAAATTGCGTATTTTGATGAGACACTGCTAGAACAAGGCATTCAACCATAGCTTTGTGTGTCACACTTTCCTTGGAAGGTGACAAATGGGTGCCAGCCACCAGCATGTTCACTGCTGAGTGCAGGTCCCTTCATACTAGCAGAGCTGCCACTGTTTCTCCAGATGCCATTTAGAGGTCAGTAGGAGGCCAGGCAGGGCGTATGACTCTGAAATGCTCCTGGGCTCATGGGAGTATAGAGTTGGAAGGAGCCCTCTCAGAAACAATACCCGCGAAGTCAAGGCCACTGTACCTGCAGTCTTTTGGGGAAGAGGGTCTTGCTCAGGCCTCTGGATTACAAAGGAGAGTCCGTGACAGTGGCATTGGGCAGCCTCAAAGCCTCCCACTGCCAATACCAGCCGCCCCTCCCTGCCCATTAACCTGCCAGAATATGGCTGAATGGCACCAGCTCCCTGCTTCATGTGCATAGTTACTCTTTCCCTGGGGCTTTGGGTTGCCAGCTACCCAAGGGAGCAGAAGGTGTCCACAGAAGGTACATGTGAGTCCCTAGGGCTGGGCAGGAGTGCATGGGGTACATATCAGTGTAGTGGACCCGTGTGACTTGAGCTCTACCTCTTACACAAACCAGCTCTGCAGTGGTTTAGATCTGGAGTGCTCCCAAATGCTCATGTGTTAAAGGCTTGGTGGAAGGTTTTAGGTAACTGGGGGCCAAGCTTTCAGAGGGGACTGTAGGACTCTGGTCTCTTCTCTTTCTGTCCTGGCCATGAAAAGAATGGCTTTGCTCTTCCATTGCTTCACCCCCCACACCAGTGGCCTAAAGGCACTTTGTCTGCTCGGCATACACTGGCACTTCCAGAACTGGGAGTTTATTGCTAAAAATAAACCTCTCTTTCTAAGTCGATCATCTCAAGTATTTGTTAAGGTAAAAGGGAGCTGACTAACACGAACTACAGATCAGGTGTCAACGATTGGTCTCTAGGCAAGAGGAAGTTGTCACCCAGAAAACAATTTAAAGCAGAGAGGGGCCCTATGGTTAAGGGACTTATCCATACAGGCTGCAGAGATATTTTGCTCTGCAGCAGTGCTGACAGAACTCTGCCGAGGGGCAAGAGCTTAGTGGCCCTTTCTGAGCTCTCCCGTCAGCATGGGACAGCCCCCCAGCAGTCAGATTATAAGTGGCGACTGCTTGTGGGCTGGCACTGAGCAAGGAGAGGCCAGTATGACCACGCTGTGGCTGTGTTAGCACCCAGGGAAGAGCTACCAGCTGGGCCAGGCTGAGCCTCGCCCTTGTACACAGGAACAGGCACAGGGCGCTGGGCTGAATCCATGGGGTAACAGGTTTTTGAGGGGGACCAGATCTAGTGGTTCTGTTTTCTCTATGATCCGATGCATAATAATCCACTTAACTGCCCTCCTTTCCTTAGATATTTCACTTATTTTCACTTTTGAGTGTTGAAGGTGCTTGGTAAGCCTCCTGGTGAGTAAAATGTGTATGTCTGATTGTTTCCATAGAATACATTTCTAAGGACTGAAAATTGCTTGTTCAAGGGATACACACACTGTGCTCAAATCTTTATCAAAGTTCTCTGAAAAATGATCTATTCTTATCAGCAATAAGCCTATCTTTATCTCCAAATTCTTTTCCAAAACACCATTCTCTATTTCATACTAATTTCATAGATAAGCATAATGAGACTATGAATAGATAGCATTTATTGAGTGCTTATTATACGCTATTTTGGACAATTTTTATTAAATTCATTCAGCTCTCTCAATAGTTTTGTGAAGCAGGTGCTCCATTTTATAGAGGAAGAAGTGGAGGTTGTAGGCAGTGACTTGCTCCAGATAAAGCTACTAGAGAGTAACAATAGCTCAACCCAAACCCTCTCACTTCTCATTATTGTTTACCTTCTCTGGGTCGTTGATGCCTGATGTGGGGGGATCTAAAATGCCCCCCAAATTCTCACATGTACAAAGGTAGCAGCCTTCAGAAGGTGACTATATCATGAAGGCTCGTGCTTCATCCCTGGCTTCACCCATTGGGGAGGTCAGAATTGAATGTCATTCATGGAAATTTGGAAGCTGGGGCCTGGTTGGAGGGCGTGGGTCAAGGGAGTATGACCTGGCAGTACCAGGGACTGAACTCAGGACCTTGCACTTGCTAGGCAGGCGCTTATTCTACTGAGCTATCTCCCCAGCCCAAATAATTAATGCATCTTTACCCACCTCTCTTTTTCCTGTGCCTCCCCTGACCCCTTTCCCCATTGCCAAGAGTCTGCCTTCCAGTTCTCTATCATCTTTCTTTCATCTCAATCATTTATTTAGTTATATTTTAGGTTGCTCATGTAGAGAAAACCTATTTAACTTTCTGAGTCTGGGCTATCTTGCTAAGCTTGATGGTCTTGAATTCCATCCATCTTCCTGCAGATGACGTGATTGCGTTCTTCTTTGCATCTGGGTAATGCTCTTCTGTGTTTGTCTAGCACATGTTCTTTATCCGTTCATCTGTTTGAGGGCATGCGGTCTCTTTCCACAGGTTGGCTGTTGTGCATTGCACCACTATTATGTGAGTGCTTGCATCACTGTCACATGATCTTTTCTTATTCTTTCAGGAATATACCCAGGAGAAGTATAGCTGGTCAAATGGTATTTCTATAGCTCAACCCAAACCCTCTCACTTCTTATTATTATATTTTACCTTCTCTTGGTTGTTGATGCCTGCTGTGTGTGCCTTTTGGGGTAGCTCCATTTCTACCCAGACTCATACCCAAGAAATTTGTGTCATCTCTCTTCCATCCCACATATCCTGTATAGTTCCAGATCCTACCAGTTTTGCCCCTGGAATATTTCCAAGATGGTTCCCTCATCTGCATCTTTGATATCTTGGCCACTTGCAGAAACCATGGTGGTCCACTCTGCTTCTGTGTTGCTCCCTCAAATCCGCATTCTTCCTTTGCTTGCCATCATTCTGTCTCCAGTTCTCCAACACCAACCAGAAGCTCAACACTTCAGCCCAATTCTGACATTGTGTGTGTGGCGTTAGCAAGCCCACACCTTAAGGGCTGAGGTTCACAATGTCTCTCCAGTGCAGACATTAGTTGGAAGTCCCAGGTACCCAGACTGCCTGCACTTCTGGCACATTTGCCTTAAGATGCAGGCATTTCCAAGAGTCTCCTCACCCTGGTGTTTCATTCATGAGAAAGGCTCATAGAACACTGAAAATTGTTTTACCATATTGTTTACTCATAGAAAATTGTTTTACTCATATATATCAGTTTATTACCAAGATTACTACTCAGGAACAGCCAGATGGTGGGATGCATAGGACGTGTATGGTGAGATCGTGGAACACAATTTCCATGCCTTGCCTGACAGCGCTGCCTCCTGACTCATGGCTTAGGTTTTTCTAGAGGTCTCATGATTAAATAGTGACTGTTTTGAATCTCCAGCCCTTCTTCCAACCTGGAGTTGCACAGGGAAGGGCTCAGAGTCCCAATTCTAATCAAAGCTCAGTCTACCTAATGATCTGCTGCCATCCTGGAGCTGTAGAGGTCACCAGCTACCAGTCATCTTATGAACTACAAAATTCATTCCTGTCACTCAGGAAACTCCAAGGATCTTAGCAGTTCTGTGCCAGGATCTAGGGCCCAAAGATGGAACATTTAATATATGCCACAATCTAACATAAAAACCTGACCATGCATTCCTGTGCTTAAAAATTCTAGAATAGAATGAAATGAAATGGCTTAGGGCTTTCCAAAACTGAGCCTTCCTTTAAAAGCCTGGAGCTGATAACCTTTAAAGGCTTAAGAGAAAGCCATCTCCAGAGGCCCTGGGGATCCACCCTCAATAGATTCCTATGGAAGCTGTGGTTGAGAGTGCAAGGAGGGTGGATTTCTGGATGTGCTTATGTATTTGTTCAAATTCAGTTTCTCCTGTTATGTGTTTAAATATTTTTCCTAAAAACTTTACAGTATATAAAATATTAGAATCATTCATGTCATTGTTTTTGCAGTACTGGGGATTAAACCCACTGAGCTACTTCTCCAGACATCTTATTTTTTATTTTCAAGCAGGGTCTTGCTAAATCATGCTGCCCATTCTTGCTCATACTTGTGATCCCCTTGCCTCAGCTTCCTAGTGCGCTGTGATTGTAGGTGTGTACTGCGTGTCCAGCTCACATGACTCTTTATTCATCCCATCCATCATTATATTTATTAAGAATGGTCTCTTAATTAAGAGATTAAGGGTCAGGCATGGTGGCTCATGCCTGTAATCCCAGCACTCAGGAGGCTGAGACAGGAGGATTGCTGGGAGTTTGAGGCCAGTCTCAACTAAATAGTGAAAGCTTATCTACAAAAGAGAAGAGAGACACAGAGATAGGCAAACGACATAACATAATTAAGGGTTGATCCTTAGTACTCCCATCCGTGTGTCTACACCCACACTTTATCAGTCTTGTGGACATGCCATACTGTAACATGACATGATATTTTCCGCACCTGGACAGAGTATCCTCTGACTGGAAACCCCATGCTATCCATCATGCGCCAGTACAGAGAGTAGAACAGCCCACGAGTTAGGCAACTTCACGTGCAGCACACCAGGTCTTCACAGTGGCAGTCCGCTCACCTTGAAGCAGGGCTGGACCAGAAATCCCAGAAGACTTGCCACCATGAAGATGGGCCTGCTGTGTGGGGAAGGTGTTGGGCATCCT